TTCCAAATCTATCCTCTCCACAGTCTGTCTGTACATGTTTCTTTGCATACTGTCTCTCCTCTTAATCTGTAAACTCCTTGAGAGCAGGGACTGTCTTTTTTGCCTCTTTTTGTATCCCTGGAGTTTACCACAGTGCCTGACACACAGTAGGTGCTTAATGCTGATTAGGTGACTAAAGAACCTTTGGGCTAAATGATCCTAAAGACCTCCTCCACCTACAACACCATTAAGCAAAAAACAAGACATCACAATAAAATGGAAGGAAAGACACCAATGTGCTTACACTAGAGAGCCTCATCATCCCCAAACTATTATTAGGTTCTGGAAATAGAGGACCAGAAATACTACAGAAAGGAGGATGGAATTTCTTCCCCCATTCCACAGCATATGAATGGTCCTAAATAAAAAAAAGAAATCAAGACTAACTTATTTGTTCAATCAATTAATAATCGATAAACATTTACTAGTCTCCCTCTATGTGCCAGGCACTAGGCCAAGTGCTGGGAATACAAGTACCCTCAAAAAGCTTAATCTAATGGGGAACTGTAATACACAAAAGGAAAGGGGGAGGGGAAAACCGGAAAACCAAGCAGAGTAAATGAAGGCAAAAGACATTCACTGGGTGCAAAGTTCTGAGCCCTATAAAGGGAAGGCTTTGGGAGGAGCTGACTGCTTTGAAATCAGAGAGAGAGGCCAAAGAGGGAGCTGAGGAGTTGCTGAGCATCAAGGCTGGACCCATGTCCAGGACGAGGAGGTCTCAGGTGATGGCCATATCATGGGGCACAAATGATGCTCCTGGGCAGAGTGGCTGGTGGAAAAGGAAGTAAGCCATAAAAGGCTGAGCCCTTTGGAAAGAAACACCACTCCTCTTTCCTCGTGGGCTAAAACAGCTGGCTCACTATCCTCCCGCTCCCAGGCCAGACTTCATGCTTCTTCCTGGCTGATGGGGCAGGTAAGCCTGGCTTCTCAAAGTCTACGCCAGCAGAGCAGAAATTGCAGCAGCTTTTATGGATCAAGATGGGCTTGGAATACGGTCCTGTAAGACTCCTTACTGGTACTGGCCAAGAACCAATCTGCGATGAGCCACGAGACTCATCCCCAGCCAAGTGAGCAGGGTTCTGTTTCATGGTGGTCAAAGCAATCTACCAAATGCCCTTCAGTCTTGTGTGTCTCTCCCTGCCCTCCCAAACTGATTGAGCAAGGACAGCAAAAGGTCCAGAGAACAACAGAATCAGAGAATTGTTAAACAGTCTATAAATACTTAATGGCTGCTAAGTGGGAGAGCTGGGTTCCACTGCCCAACCAGGTGATACTATTCAAAGTAACTGAACCACATTAGTACAGACTCTCAGCTTCCTCTGAAAGCAGGGGCTGTCTGTCACCAGCACCTTGCACCTCTAAGCACTTGGGAAATGCTTTCTCATTCATTCCTTGAAGAAAATGACCATATTACTTTGGTACTTGTATCCTCAGTGCCTAGCAGATGGTAGGCCTTTAAGGCTCATCTGGTGACTGACACTGGTGACATTGCTATAAATGAAAAAAATAATGACATTTCAGTCAAATGATGAGATCACTACTTCTCCAGGAGAGAGGATAAAGGAGTTATCTGGGATGATTTCATGAAAATACATTTCTGTCCCCTCAACTAGAAGCTCACAATTATTTGGTAAGATAAGCATCCATAAAATATAAAAATAACTATGTCCATTTTCCAAAGGAGAAAGAAATTCGACCAAGAATCTTACTCATCCTTCAAATCAAGTCAGCATCTACCTCATAAAGGGGAAGGATGGCACCAAGAACTGAAAATTATACTTCTGGATTAAGAAACTAAAGACTTCCAAGTTCGTAGAAGACTCTGTACACCTGTGTGCCTCTTCCTCCAGAAGAGAATCAAAAGAAAAACCATCTTTAACAGGCAGGTCATAACTGCTTCCTGCAAACCTTGGAGGACAATCACTCTCAGCTATCTGGAGGAAAATGATGATCCAGTAGAGAAACCCAAGAAGAAACAGTATGACCAGGGAGGAGTAGAATGATCAGCAAGGATTTCTGAAACTCCTACTGTGCACCAGGCTAACACGAGAAGTCTCTACCCTGAAGGAGCTTCCATTCCATCAGGTGAGATGCCATGTACAATACAGAGGCAGCCAGACACAAAAGGAGCAGACAAAAAGTAGCCCAACGGGGAGGCACCAGCAGCTAGGCGGATGGGAGGAAGGAAGGAGGAAGAAGGGCAAGACCAAGGCCTCTGACAGAAGGCAGCATATGAGAGGACCCAAGAGCAGTGATCCAATGTTGAGGGGAAGGGTCTGCCCACGAGGTGGTAGACAGTAACAAAAGCCGAAAAGGAAAGGGGTCATGAAGGAGAAGCACTTGGGTCCCCAGCCTCACCCTCCCTGCCATCACTGCCTCTATACCAACAGGAATGGGAGAGAGCGAATGGCCCAGAACGTGGCCTTGGAGAAGAGGGAAGAAGACACGGACTAGACCTTTCTCCCTTCTGCGACCGCAAGACAATGCTGCACACAGCCAGTCAAACACAGAGGCCGCGATGGCTGGTTTGGCTGAAATGAGTTTTCTTTCTTAAACTTTGTCGGAAGGGCTAATGTTTAGAAATGTTTGGTATAAAAACAGCACATTGATAAAACATTTTTTACTTAAATCTTTTAAAAGACAAATGGCCTACTGAATTTTTTTTTTTACAACTCATCCCTAAAACCCTCCCCACCAATCCCACAGCATCCATTCACAACTTACAACCTTTTAGGTAAAAAAAAAAAAGTTGAATCCACATTGTTTTTCTCTTTAAAGGTTAGGATCATTATACAGAATTTGGAGAAAAAGTCAAAAGGCACTCATCAATTTGCTTTTCTGAAAAATTCAATTCATAAAAATCACAGCAATATCATTCCCAAGCCTCTCCCCCTCCAAAATATTGGCTGATCATTCAAAACAATCTTGAAAATTTTGAGACAAAGGAATTTAATAGGCAAGAAAACAAAACAACATCTCAGGAGATGCTCTGTAATCTTTAAAACAGTCATTCCTTTAGTTTATTAAACACAGTATTAAGATGACAACTTCAGTTTCTATTAAGACTCCTTCCTGTATCTAACTCCTTTATTCAATAACCCACAAAACTCTCCCCCCTCCTCAGGGATGGCCAAGTGCCAGAGTGTCATGGAGGGAACAAACACCTGGTTTTGGAAAAGCTCGTGTTTGGGGGGAGGTCCCCTAACAGTCTACTGGTCCTTTTCTTTACTCTTTCATCTAGTAACCTGTACTTTTCTGTTTCCATGCCTGCCCTGATATTACTCTCATTTCCCAAAATCCCCGAATCTATGAGCTAGCAGGGACTGCCTTGATTTTTCAGGCATGACCACACCTCAATTCCAACAAATGAAAATTTACCAAAAACCAATCTGTCTTCTTCGAAATGTTTATAAATGGCATGTTAGACTTGCTGCCCCCTTCCCCCCCCACACACACACTAAGGTGAATGCCTCTCCAGACCACACGCCCATAATACAGAAAGCTCTCCATATACTGAAGCTCTCATATTCAAGTCCTGGAAGCAGGTTAGCTCAATACTTCACTATCCTTAGAAATAAAATGTCAGCCTCCTAGTGAATTCTTTCAGTAGCCAGGTACGAAGGCCAAAAGATTGGAATAAATCTAATACGCACAATGTTTCCTGAATGCCAGCTGGGTTTTCCTATACTCCCATCTTCCTTAATCTGGTCCTCAGCTATAAACTCTTATTTTTTTGGCTAAAAACAATTGCAAGGGCATCAGGTCGAGCATGCTACCTCCCAGACCGAACTGCCTCAGATCCCTATCAATTCCAGTCAATGATGACAATGGGGTAATACTGTGAGTCACCGGAGAGTATGCTGGGCTGGCGGGAGTCAGGAGGCCTGGGACCTTCCACCTCATCCACTATGAGACCTTGAATATGCCACTGTGGGGCCCGTCTCTGCATGTCTAAATGAAAGGGCTGGAGGACGTGTAGTAAAACACTGTAGGGAACGTGATAAATTAAATGTGATGCCCACCCTGGGTCCTGAAAGGCCACAGCAGGCCAGCACAGAAGCCTAGTGGGTGGACAGGGACCCTCAGGTTCAAGTCCCGCCTCTCAGAAGACCCAGAGGGAGTCACTTCCCCGGTCAACGTCCCAGGCAACATTCTGAGACCCCGGACTACAGAACAAGTGACTCAAGTCTGAAGAGACCTCCCTGACCCCCAACCCCGCCTGGTTAGGCACAACTTCCTGGAGACCACAGTGACAGGATCCTGCCTGCCTCGGCCTGAGCCCAGGGGCCCTGCTCACACGTGCGGCCGCCGCTGGTTGGTCAGCAGGGAGGGGCAGCACACCTTCCCAGGCTAAGGCCACGCCACCCGGGACGGCTCCTCCCCTGCTAGCGACCGGGGTCCACTAACACCGCAGGGTCCTTCTCCACTGGGCTAAACTCTGGCCCCCGCCCACGTGGTGCTCAGGTGAGTGACATGTGTCCTGAAGGTCTCTGGACTCGGTCCTCAGGCCCCCCCCAACCCCCGCGACGGTGGCTCCATCGGGAGAGCCCGGTAAGGACGACCTCAGGGGGGCCTTGATGGAGAGGGCAGCCCCCAGCCCCGGACAGCTGCGGGCGGGCGACCCAGGCACCGGCCGCCCCAGAACCTCCGCACCCGCTCGGAGCTGCCGGACCCGGCCTGACCGCTACCTGCCCAGGCTGGGGGGTGGGGGCAGGATTCGCGGCTCGGAGGTCAAAGCCCGGAGCCGCTCCCGAACGCGCCGTGGGGCCCAGCACGGGCAGCGCGGCCACCCGTGACCGGCGGACACACGCGCGCGCACCCCCACGGCCTTTTGGCCCGGCCGGCCGGCAGCTCCGACGTTGGCCCACCCCAGACACCGGTCGTCCCTGCACCCACGCCCCGGGGGGCATCGAGGCGCTCCGGAACCCCCGGCCCCGCGCCCCCCGCCCTTCCTCACTCACCGGCCTCCTCCTCCTCCTCCTCGCCCCCCTCGTCGTCCTCGTCGTCCTCCTCCCCCTCGTCGTCTCCCGCCGCCGCGCTCAGCTCAGCGCCATGGCCCGGGCCCGCCGCCCCGCCGCCCCCGGGGCCCTGGGCGGGCTCGCTGGGCCGGGGGCTCCCGGGGCCGCGCGGGAGCCGCGGGGGCGCGCGCTCCGTCCCTCAGGGCCTCAGGCCGTCCGTCCGTCCGTCTCTCCGTGCGTCCGTCGGGCCCTGGGTCCGGGGGCGCAGGATCGGCCCGCAGCGGGCCCGGCCCGACCCGGCGGGGACGAGGACGGGGAGGCAGGGACGGGGCCGGGGCCCAAGGCGGCGGGGCCCGGGGGAGCGGCTCACGCAGCGGCAGCGGCGGCGGCGGTGGCAGCGGCGGCGGCAACGAGTGCGCGAGCGCGAGCTCGGGACTCCCGCGCCGGATGTGAGGTCACGTGATTGACTCATCCCGAGCCCCCGAGGGCAGAGCGTGGGGGCGGGAGCGGAAACGGCAGGCGCTGAAGGGGGCGGAACCTGTAGCTCCGCCCCCGTCTGGCCCCGCCCCCTGGGGCCCCGGCGCGCGTGCGCAAGGGAGAGAGAGCTAGCGGGCCGGGGTGGGCATGCGCATTGGGCTGACCCCGAGAGAGACTCGCCCACCCGGCGGTCTCGTAGCGGGCAGGGCGCGAGCCAAAGAAAGGCCAGGAAAGGCACCGAGCAGGCGCGAAGCGCCTACTGTGTGCCCCGCCGTTCTGAGCGCTGGGGAAACTAGGAGAGGCAAAAGAAGTCACTGCCCTGGAGGAGCTTACACCCTACAAGCCAGCTCCTGTTAAGTGCCCACTGTGTGCCCGGGGGGGGTAAAAAGGAAGCCCCTGCCCTCAGGGAGCTCACGCTCTAAGACAATATGCAAACCAAAATATTGAACCTCAGCTATGCACAGGCCAAGTCGGAGATCATTACAAGCGGGGAGGGCTCCCTGTGACAGGGGATTTCAGCTGAGACATAAAGGAGGCCAGTAGTGGTTGTGAAGATGGGAAGTCCCCAACCAGCCTGGCCTCACAGAAAACGCTCTAGACTAGCGCCAGCCTGACCGAACCGCCTCTAATCTCCGGGTGCCCGAGCCCCACAGAGCAGGTTAGACTCCGGACAGTCAGGAATCAAACAGGAGTTTAATTTCAAAGGGAGGGAAATGGTTTGCAAGAAGGAGGGAGACTAGACACTTGCCGGAGCCCTGCCCCTAGTGGGGAGGCAGTGTAGGGAGATCTCAATACCAGTGGCTGAGCAGGGAGCTGTAGCCCTGACAATGAGGGCTCACCGCAGCGATGTGACGAGTCTGATTCATAGCAGGGCTTCATGACTGGAACTCGGTGCTTGTCGGAGCTCAGAGAACACAGGGGCTGCTCAGAGCAATACAAGAATTAGCTGATTTTGCCAGAGGGTGAGTGCAAAGGATTGTTGTTATATTAAGCTCAGGGCACAACTGCTTGCTGCAAAACGGGGAGTCTCCTAATATCCTGACAGTAGCAATGGCTGGAGCTCCCGTGCCTGGGGTTTTATCCCAACCTGGGGCCACTCGATCCCTCCCTCTTCTGTTGGGAGGGGCTGGACAGGGACACCTCGGGATCCCCTTATGACCCTCAGTCCCAGGTCTTTGGCTCAAAGCCAGCAGGGCCCCAACTCCTCTGCTAGATCGCTGAGTTAACTGTAAGACAGGAAGTCTTGGGGGAACTAGCAAAAAGGGAAGTTCTGGGGAGCATTAGGACAGTGGGGGGCCTTTGTACTCATATATACATACACACATGTAGGCAAGCACTTTGAGGACCTGGCAGTGATCAGGCGATGCAGGAACTGTGAAATGTGCTAGTGTAGACTGCGCAAGAATTCACACATTTAGCTCACCACTCCAGACCACTAAGCCTGGGGCAGAGAGTGGCAGCAGATTCCTCCAGAGCACTGACCTCCATTCACAAATTCTCAGGGGGATGGTCAGCAGAGGCCTGACCACACTTGACTTCCGGCAGTTCAGAGGCTCATGAACAGCGATTGGAAGAGAGACCTTTAGTGTTTCCAGTTCTGGATCAAACTTCTGGCCGATGATTTTAAAGACTTATAAACTGGGCTTGACTCTTTCCCACTCTGATGCCTCAAATGCCAAGTTTCCCTCTTCCCTTGTTGCCCTCGTATTATTCTTCCCTCCAACAAATGTGAATTCTCTGATTTCTCTCCTCACAAAACCTGCTGCCTTTGCCCAGCGTTCATTCCTGGGACTGCCAGCAGGCACTTTGGGCAGGGCATGCTGCCTTCCACCTCTCAGCAGCTCTCAGCCATTGCTAGTTTTCTCCTTTAAGCAGGGCTAAAGACCCAGGTGACAATCTAAGGCCCTTGCTTCGGCCAGTAAATACAGTAAATATTGCCACAATCTGGAAACGTTCTCTTGGGGAGAATGTGAGAATGCCTGGATCCTTGGATCCCAGTGAGAACCTTCTAGTTCCCCACCAAATGCCTTGGCTGGCAGCTGTGCCTGGGAGGAAAGGCAGAGTCTTGTGTGAGGCTGGGAGGAGGAAGAAGGGTGACTGAGCAAGCAGAGCCCGAGATGGGAGCCTGGGAAGCAAAGTCCAGGCTCTTCCAGCGGCCTCGCTTGGAGTAAATCGTTCCACTTCTGTTTGGCCTCATGTTGGTGAAAGGCTGTCACCACCTGGGAGGAGATTAGGATGGGCTCTGCTTGGTCACTTGGTCTGTCAGGGCCCAAAGGCCTCTCACACCACCCACTAGGCCCCCAAAGGATGGGATCCAGGGCACAGAAAAGCACAGTGGTGTCTGCTGGCTGCCCCTTCTTAACCCTGATGACTGACCTACAGGCTAGAAGAGACAGAAGAACACGAACACAATTACAAAACACTTTTCACACAAATAAAGTCAGATCTAAATAATTGGAAAAACATCAGCTGCTTATGGGTAGGCCAAGCTAATTTAATAAAAGTGGCAATTCTACCTAAATTAATTTACTTATTCAGTGCCATACCAATCAAACTACTAAAAATTTATTTTATAAAGCTAGAAAAAAATAATTAAAAAATTCATCTGGAAGAACAGAAGGTCCAGAATATCAAGGGAGTTAATGAAAAGAAATGCAAGGGAAGGTGGCCTAGCTATACCAGATCTCAAATTGTATTATAAAGCAGCAATCATCAAAACTACTTGGTACTGGCTAAGAAATAGAGTGGTGGATCAGTGGAGTAGGTAAGGTGCACAAGACACAGTAGTCAATGACTATAGTAATCTACTATTTGATAAACCCAAAGACTCCAGCTCCTGGGATAAGAACTCACTCTTTGACAAAAACTGCTGGAAAACTGGAAAATGGTATGGCAGAAACTAGGCAGAGACCAACATCTTCACCATATATCAAAATAAAGTCAAAATGGAAACATGATTTACATATAAAGCCTGATACTATAAGCAAACTGGAAGAGTAAAGAATAGTTTACCTGTCAGATTTGTGGAGAACAGAAGAATTTATGACCAAACAAGAGAAAGAGAACATTATGAAATCCAAAATGGATAATTTTGATTGCATTAAATTGAAAAGTTTTTGCACAAAGCCAATGTAACCAAGATTAGGAGGAAAGCAGAAAACTGGGAAATAATTTTTACAACCAATGTCTCTGATAAAGGCCTCATTTCTCAACTATGTAGAGAACTGAGTCAAATTTATAAGAATACAAGTCATTCCCCAATTGATAAATGGTCAAAGGATATGAATAGGCAGTTTTCAGGTGAAGAAATTAAAGCTATCCAAAGTCATACGAAAAAATGCTCTAAATCACTATTGATTAGAGAAATGCAAATCAAAACAACTCTGACATACCACATCACACCTATCAGATTGGCCAACATGACAAAATAGGGAAATGATAAATGCTGGAGAAGATGTGGGAAAATTGGAACACTAATGCATTGTTGGTGGAGTTGTGAACTGATTCAACCACTCTGGAGAGCAATTTGGAACTATGGCTAAAGGGCTATAAAACTGTGCATATCCTTTGACCCAGCAATACCCCTTCTAGGTCTGTATGCCAAAGAGATCCTACAAATGGGAAAAGGACCCACATGTACAAAAATATAGCAGCTCTTTTTGTGGTGGCAAAGAATTGGAAATTGAGGGGACACCCATCAGTTTGGGAATGGCTGAACAAGTTGTGGTATATGAATGTGATGGAATACTACTGTGCTATAAGAGATAATGAGCAGGCAGACTTTAGAAAAACCTGGAAAGACTTCCATGAATTGATGTTGAGTGAAGTGAGTAGAACCAGGAGAACATTGTGCAAGTAACAGCAACATTATGCAATGACTACCTTTGATAGAATTATGTCTTCTCAGCAATGCAAGGATCTAAGACAACTCCAAAAGACTCATGATGGAAAATGCTATCCACATCCAGAAAAATAACTATGAAGTCTGAATGCAGTTTGAAGCCTATTATTTGCTCTCTTTTTTTTTGTTTGTTTGTTTTCTTTCTGGAGGTTTCTCCCATTGGTTCTGATTCTTCTTTACAATGTGACTAAAGTAAAAATAGGCTTAATATGAATGTATGTGTTGAGCCCATATCAATTTACATGCCATCTCGGGGTGGGTGTAGGGGAGAGATGGTGAGAAAATTTGGAACTCCAAATCTTATGGAAGTGAATGTTGAAAACTAAAAATAAATTAATTTATTTTTTAAAAAAGATCATACTATTAGGGGAAGAAAAAACAAAATAGAAAAGATGGCAGCCTGGGGGAATTAAGGCAGCAGGAGATGGCCAGTCATGTTTCCAGGGCAGAGGGTCCCAGCTGGACAGCCAGTGATCCAGGGGAGCCCCTGCCTGCTAAAGCCTTAGGAGGTGGCCTCCAGATGGATTTGGAGAGGATGGGAATGGGCTTCAGCTCTCTAGGTCAGGGAATATGTCAATATCCATGACATCCCAAAGCCTCTGAAACCTCGAAGTGTCTAGTGAGCCTATATGGGGCCGATCACAGAGAAGCAGCGTGAGATACCATC